TCGGCATTCACAACCAGCCACCCGGTTCGGTTCGGTTCCCCTCAGCCCCGGCATCCACAACCAGCCACCCGGTTCGGTTCGGTTCGGTTCCCCTCAGCCCCGGCATTCACAAACAGCCGCCGGGTTCGGTTCGGTTCCCCTCAGCCCCGGCATCCACAACCAGCCACCGGGTTCGGTTCGGTTCCCCTCAGCCCCGGCAACCACAATCAGCCACCCGGTTCGGTTCGGTTCCCCTCAGCCCCGGCATTCACAACCAGCCACCCGGTTCGGTTCGGTTCCCCTCAGCCCCGGCATTCACAACCAGCCGCACGGTTCGATTCGGTTCCCCTCAGCCCCGGCATTCACAGCCACTTGCCTCAGCCGCCCGGTTCGGTTCGGTTCTACTCGGTCCCGGCACTCACAGCCCCTCAGGCCGGTTCGGTTCCCCTCAGCACCGGCACTCACAGATCCTCAGGCCGGTTCGGTTCCCCTCAGCACCGGCACTCACAGCCGCTCAGTTCGGTTCGGTTCCCCTCAGCCCCGGCACTCACAGCCACTTGCCGCAGCCGCCCGGTTCGGTTCGGTTCGGTTCGGTTCGGTTCGGTTCGGTTCCCCTCAGCGCGCTCCCCCTCAGCCGTTTCCTCTCCTCTACCACCGGTGCCGCTCGCGCCGAACTCTCCGACCGCCGCAATTCCCGCCACGACGTCTAGCCCCGCCCATCGACCGCTCTCAACCAATCAGCGAACGCCTCCTCCTCCGCACGCCATAAAGGGGCAGTGCTGCGCATGCGCAGCGGCGCTGCCGAATGGGGAGAAACTACAACTCCCAGGAGCCTCTGCGGCTGGCTACGGGTGCGCGCTGAAGGCAAAACTCGGCGAAACGCGCTGCGTGCGGGAGTGCTGGGTTCCGTCTGTCTGTGTGTCCGTCCCTCTGTCCCTTTGTCCTTTTGTCCCTCTGTCCAACCACGGGAATGGACAAGGCAGGAAAATGTAGCCTGGGTTTGGCTCCGTAGAGCCGGTTTATTAAAACAAAAATTTAAAAAAATGATAAATATCAATAAATGCATTAAAAAAATCAATAAATGTATTAAAAAATTCAATAAATGTATTTTAAAAATTCAATAAATTTATTAAAAAACAAATAAAATTCCTATTTCTAAATGAATTTAATTCCGGTGGACGTCACCCTGAGGAGAGGTGACGTCAAAAATCATCAAATCCTGGAATTTTGAGGTGTTTGGACTCAAAGTTCATCTCATCCCAATCCCATAATCCCAAAATTTGGATCATCCCTCCCCATTTCCAGCCCCTGGGAATTCCCAGCTCCTCCCTTAAATCCCAGGATTTTGGGGATTTGGAAATGAGATTTTTCCACCCCGTTCCCAATTTCCCAAAGTTTTTTTTTTGGGAAAAGGGGAGGGGTCCCCAGCACGACTTCAAAAATCAATATTTTCAAATTTATAAATTCAAATTTTTAATTTTAACTCCTCCGTTTTCCCAGGGATTGGAGCAATTCCCGATTTTCCATTCCCAATCGTGCCTGGTTTGGGTTAAAAAATAAAAATAATTAATAATTAATTAATTAATTAATAATTAATAAATAATAATGAATGGGGGTTCAAATGATAATTCATCGGGTTATAATTTTATAATTCTAATTATGTTTAAAATTATGTATAATTATAAGGTGTTATAACGTAAATATATAAAATATTAAATATTAAATAAATATATATTATAAAAATATAAATATACATTAAATTAAATATAAAATAAATATAATGCAATAGAAATATAAAATATATATAATGTAATATAAATTTAAAATATATAAAATGTAATACTAATATAATATAAATACAATGTATAAATATAGCATAAATGATAGTATGATAAATGTATGTTTTTATCATTATAATTGTGGTTTTATAACTATTATTATAGTTATAATTAAAAATACGAAAAATAAATATTAAGTACATTAAATTATTATTTAAATTCATTAAATTATAAGGAAAATAATTAAATTTGACTCATAAATTATAATTATAACTGCAATTTTGATTATAGCTAAGAAATAAAATAAAAAATAAATTAAATTAATTAAATAAATTAAATTAAATTAAATTAATTAAATTGGGTTAAAATTTTTGCTCCCCCAAAGCCCCAAAAAGCTGGGAATTCTTTCCCAAATTTCTCCCCCTTTTCCCATGGATTCCCTCCATTCCCAGCCTGGGGTTGGATCCAGCCCCATCCCAAGGGAAGGAATTTTGGGAATTCCCTGGGAATTGGGGACTCCAGGAAGGGTCTCCCTATCCCAGAATTCCATAAAAATCCCCTGGGATGGATCCTGAACATCCTCAATCCCAGAATTCCTTGGAATGGTTTGAATAATTCCCAAATAATTCCCAAAAAATTCCCAAATAATTCCCAAATAATTCCAGAATAATTCCAGAATAATTCCAAATAATTCCAGAATAATTCCCAAATAATTCCTGAATAATTACCCAATAATTCCCAAAAAATTCCTGAATAATTCCCGAATAATGCCCAAATAATTCCCCAATAATTCCAGAATAATTCCCCAGTAATTCCAAATAATTCCAGAATAATTCCCAAATAATTCCTGAATAATTACCCAATAATTCCCAAAAAATTCCTGAATAATTCCAGAATAATTCCCAAATAATTCCCCAATAATTCCAGAATAATTCCCCAATAATTCCAAATAATTCCAGAATAATTCCCAAATAATTCCTGAATAATTACCCAATAAGTCCCAAAAAATTCCTGAATAATTCCAGAATAATTCCCAAATAATTCCAGAATAATTCCAGATCCAATCCCAGGCTGGGAATGGAGGGAATTCCCTGGGAAAACGGGGAGGGATTTGGGATTTGGGAAGGAATTCCTGGGGTATCCCAAAAAAAAAAACCCCAAATTCCATAAAAATCCCTGAATTTTCCTGGATTTCCCTGGAATTTTCCAGAATTTTCCTGAATTTCCCTGGAATTTTCCTGAAATTTTCCTAAGTTTTCCTGAATTTTTCTGGATTTTCCTGATTTTTCGGTGGATTTTCCTGAAAATTTCCTGAATTTTCCTAATTTTTTCTTAATTTTCTTAATTTTCCCTGAATTTCCTGGATTTTTCTGAGTTTTCCTAATTTTTTCCTGAATTTTCCTAAATTTTCCTGAAATTTTCTGGGATTTTCCTGAACTTCTCCTAAATTTTCCTGAATTTTCCTGGATTTTCCTGACATTTTTCTGGATTTTCCAGGATTTTCCTGAATTTTCCTGGATTTTTCTGATATTTCCCTGAATTTTCCTAAATTTTCCTGAATTTTCCTGAATTCTCCTAAATTTTCCGGAAATTTTCCGGAAATTTTCCTGAAATTTTCCAGAATTTTCCTGAATTTTCCTGATTCTCGGACCTGGATTTGGGACAGAAACACCCAAAAAATCCATTTTAAAAAAAAATAATTAAAATTTTATTTTCCACCCAAATTTTCCAACCTTGAAAGTTTGGGAAATTATCCCAGGAAAGGACAAAACCTTTTAAAATCCAGGGAATTTTTGATATTCCTGAATAACCCAGGAGAGAGCAGAATGACATTTTTATTATAAAATCTGATTTTTAAAATGAAAAAATAAATCCTTTTTTTCCCCCTAAAAAAATTCCCAAAATCCAGGATTTCATCCCATCCCATTTTCCCTAAAAATTCCCCAAATCCAGGATTTCATCCCATTTTATTTTCCCTAAAAATTCAAAAATTCAGGCTCTCATCTCATCCCATTTTCCCTAAAAATTCCCAAAATTCAGGATTTCATCCCATTTTCCCAAAGAATTCCCAAAATTCAGGCTCTCATCCCATTTTCCAAAAGAATTCCCAAAATCCAATCTCTCATTCCACTTTATTTTCCCTAAAAATTCCCAAAATTCAGGATCTCATCCCATTTTCCAAAAGAATTCCCCAAATCCAGGCTCTCATCTCATCCTATTGGGATTTGGGATTTGGAATTGATGCAGGGTTTGGGATTTGGGATTCAGGATTTGGGATCTGGGCAGGTGCGAGATTTGGGATTTGGGATTTGGGATGTGGGATTTGGGATTTGGGAAGGATGCGGGATTTGGGATTTGGGGTTTGGGGTTTGGGATTTGGGGAGGATGCGAGATTTGGGATTTGGGATGATTTGGGATTTGAGATTTGGGAAGGATGCGGGATTTGGGATTTGGGATGTGAGGTTTGGGATTTGGGATGTGGGGAGGATGCCGGGTTTGAGATTTGGGATTTGGGGTTTGGGATTTGGGCAGGATGCGAGATTTGGGATTTGGGATGATTTGGGATTTGGGATTTGGGCAGGATGTGAGATTTGGGATTTGGGATTTGGGATTCGGGATTCGGGATTTGGGATTTGGGCAGGATGCGAGATTTGGGATTTGGGCAGGATGTGGGATGCGGGGTGAGTGATGTGAGATTTTGGATTTGGGATTCAGGATGCGGGATTTGGAATTTAAAGATGCAGGATTTGGAATTCAGGATGCGGGATTTGGGATTCGGGGTGCGGGATTTGGGATTTGGGATGCAGGGAAGATGTGATGTGAGGGATTCGGGATTTGGGGTGCAGGATTTGGGATGCGGGGAAGGTGAGGGGTGCGGGATTGTGGATTCGGGGTGCGGGAAGGATGCGGGATTTGGAATTCAGGATGTGGGATTTGGAATTTAAGGATGCAGGATTTGGGATTCAGGATGCGGGATTTGGAATTTAAGGATGCGGGATTTGGGATGTGGGGAAGATTCGGGGTGCTGGATTATGGATTCGGGGTGCGGAAAGGATGCGGGATTTGGGATCCAGGGTGCTGGATTTGGGATTGGGGCTGTAGGGAAGATGAGGGATTTGGGATTTGAGGTGCGGGATTGTGGATTCGGGGTGCCGGGAGGACGCGGGATTTGGGATTGGGGCTGCAGGGAAGATTCGGGGTGCGGGATTTGGGATTCAAGGTGCGGGATACAGGGAGGATTCGGGGTGTGGGATTTGGGATTGGGGCTGCAGGGAAGATTCGGGGTGTGGGATTTGGGATTCAAGGTGCGGGATA